GGGGCGAGAAAGAGCGGCGGGAGAGGGCGAGGAGCAGTGCGGTAGGGGAAGAGGCGGTAAAAGGGGACCGACTCGTGAAAGGTGACGTCCTGGGACGCAAAGACACGGCGCGAGGCGGGGTCGTAAAACTGCCAGCCAGGCGCGTCAGGGACAAAGCCAAGGAAGACGCAAGGAATGGCGCGAGGGGAGAGCTTGTCAGCGGTGGTATCGCGGACAAAGGCACGAGCACCCCAGACCCGGAAACGCGACGCATCGCCAACCTTCCCCGTCCACAGCAGCGTAGGCGAGGTCTCCGGCAAGGAGACACGGGGCCAAAGGTTGAGCTGATGCGTGGCGTACCGGACTGCAAACGGCCACAGAAAATGGGGGGCAGCCGCATGGATCATGGAGGTACGAGCGACCTCCATGACTAAGCCAATGCGGCGCTCAGCAACCCCATTTTGCTGCGGAGAGGCCGGAAGCGTGAAAGTCTGGCGGATGCCGTGCTCTGCACAGAAGGCTGCCAAGAGGTCTGAGGAGAACTCACCACCTCTGTCAGAGTGCAGACGCAGGACAGGAAAGTCCGACTGGAACCGCTCGCGGAGCTGGAGACGAGTAGCGCGGATCCAGGGGATCAAAACATCAGGGACATCCCCCTTGCGCTGCAAGGGGAAGACCGTGGTGTAGCGCGTGTAGTCGTCGACAACCAGCAGGAAGTACCGCTCGTGGCCCTGTCCACGGACGCGGGCTGGGCCCCACACGTCCAGGTGGAGAGTCTGCAGTGGAGCCTCTGTGGGAGGGAACGAGGAGGAGTGAGGAGCGGCGCGCTGCCGCCCCTCGACGCAAGGAATGCAGGGCGGCGCAGGCGAGGGAGGGAGGGCAGGCAGAGACCTGGGAAGACCAGAGACCAGAAAGCGAGAGTGCATGCTACGAAGGCGAGGCAGGGAGGGGTGACCAAGGCGGTGGTGCCACAGGAGAGTGTCGTGAGACAGCCGGCGACACTCACACTGGGTAGCTACCTGAGCAGACGCGTGCAGCTGGGGAGACAAAGGGGTGGAGCGCGACGTAGTGGTGAGGGTGTACATACTGGACCCTGGCGCACGGGTGAACGTGGCCAGGTGGCGGCCGGTCTGGGAGCACATGCAGATCGCCACACGCTGCCGGCCAGGGGTGAAGGTGTCAACACCCGCATCCTGGAGGACAGCGTTGCTCACCAAGTTTGTAGAGAACGAGGGGAGGTGGAGACCAGACAGCTCACCAGACGGGACCGCCGGACACGGAAGCACAGTGGAAGACCGTGCAAGCACCAGGCCCCCAGAGGGGTCAGCAAGTGAGACAGGAACAGGTGCAGGGAGGGGAGTGACTGTGGTACTGTCGCGAAAGAAACAGCGGGAAGCACCAGAGTCAAGTGTAAAGGTGTGCAAGGCTTGTGCTGGCGCAGTACCAGGGGCTATACCAGGATCCGGAGGCACACACAAGTAGCAGTCACCCTCAGCACTAACAGTCAATGCATACATGGCAGCAAGAATAGCCTCATAGTTAAGATCAAAGATAGGTACATCACGCCTAAGCAGCTCTGCCCAGTTGGGGAACTCAGGAGCATCAGGAAACTTGACGCGCCAGGCGTCGCTAAGCCGAGCGAAGCAGCGCTGCTCAATGTGAAACCCTGTGCACTGGCGACCAGCGCGGGGAACTGTGCGAATGAGATAGGGGCAGCGACCAGGACCCCCAGAAGCCCCACGCCCGGCATACCAGTCAAGAAGCTGCTGGGAAATGGGGGTCTGGCGCGGACGCTGCTGCTGCTGCTGCAGCTGCTGCTGCGGCTGCTGCTGCTGCTGCCCCTGACCACCACTGCCACTACCGCTCCCTCCTCCCCCACCACCGCCGCTGCCACCTCCACTGCTCCCAGTGCCTCCGCCGCCCCCAAAACCACCTCCACCACCTCCACCTCCCCCGCCGCCTGCACCACCGCCCCCTCCACCGCCATCCCCACCGCCACCCCCACCTCCCCTGCCACCCTTGCCGCCCCTGCCGCTGCGGCGCTTCCCACTAGGAGCGAAAGCAGCCCCGATCTCCTCAGCACCAAGGTAGTCGAGAGCAGCAGCTGCGGAGGCGTAGGAGGGGGTAAGAGGGGAGGGGGAGCACCCCTCAAAGAGGGGAGAGCGAGGAGTACCGCGAGCAGCACCTACAGCGAGGATGTTCTTCTCTGCTGCGAGGAGGTGCTTCTCGAGGTCGTCGACAGTGAGAGAATGGGGGTCAAGGGCGAGGAAGTGGTCCCTGACTGAGCGAAGAGTGTCAGGGAGGCGGGTGATGAGGAAGTAGAGAGTAAAGTACATCGGGGGGCGGTTCTCTATGAGGAACTCGGCTGGAAGGGCGGCACGAAGGCGAGTGTCACTAGCGCGTAGGTGAGAGATGAGGTCCTCAGCGGTGGTAAACGAGGACAGGTCGGGGAACAGGTAGGGTAGCATAAGTCGACCGAGGGCTGCAGTGGCCGGGGAAGAGTAGCGGGCAACTACAGCGTCGTACAGTGCCTTGGCAGTCTTGTGCTGGCTAAAATGTGCGCGCTCTGTGATCGGCAGATGGTTGCGAATAGATAGGCACGCAGCAGCATCGCGGGTCTGCCACTGGGAGCGGTCTAGAGCAGGTTCAGTGGTAGCAGGAGCAACGGCAGTGCCCGATACGTAATCAAATAGGGAAACACCGTCCTTGGCATCAGTCATGAGGAATAGTTGCAGGTCGTCAAGCCAGGTGGAAAACTCTACTGGGCGACCGTCAGGATCGAACGCGAGCACGTTGAGAGTCGCCATGCGTGCAGTGTAGGCAAGTCGAGTGCGCAGGCGGCAAGGCAAAAGGCAAGCAAGGAGAGACTGCGTGCAAGGCTGCAGTGGCGGCTTACAGACTGCTGTGGCGGTGCACGGACTCCTGAGGCAGCACGGAGGGCAGCAGTGGGCCGCGCGTGGGCCTCTAATGCGGCGCGTGATGCAGCAACGGGCCGCAAACGGGCTCCTAAGGCGGGACACGGTGCAGCAGTAGGCCGTGCGCTGGCTCCTAAGGCGGCGCGCGGAGCAGGGGCGGGCTACACACCAGAGGAGGCGACGCAAGGGGCCGGCGGCAGGCTGCGCGGGCGGCTTAAGCGGCGCGTGGGCCGGCAGCAGGCTGCGCGGGCGGCAGATGCGGCGCGCAGGGCCTAAGCGGGCTGCGCGCGGGCGGCTTACGCAGCGTGCGGGCCGGCGGCAGGCTGCGCGGGCGGCTGTCGTGGCGCGCGGGGCCGAAACTGGGCCTAAACGAGCCTAAACGAGCCGCGCGCGGGCTGCTTAAGCGACGCGCGCGGGCTGCTTAAGCGACGCGCGCGGGAAAAAAAAAATGGGGCCGCGCGCGTGCAGCCGAGGCGCGCGCGGGCAGAAGGCAAGGCAGGCAGGCAAATGAGGTAATGTGGTAACGGGTGGGCCCTAATCTTAGGTCCTAAAGGCCTCTATGCTCTAGATACCATCTTAGAGTATAGGCATGAGTGAAAAAGTGGACTATCGAGGGGGTGGTACAAAGGAGAAACCTAAGGGGTTGTACCCCACAGTGAGTACCCCACTAAGCCTACCCAAACTATAACACATGTATATATATATATGTTTGACAGCCCCGTGCAGGGGCACAAATCAGGATGGATGGGAATAGATGCTTTACACCAACAAAAAATACAACAATATTCAATTGAATCGCACGTCGGCACTACATAAAAATGTAGCTGGTATCTTGATGGTATTCCATAGTCCTGCCAATAAGACCCCAGTTCACATAATTTAGAAACAAACTTTTGTCTTCGTACATCCTTTGAATAAGCTAGTGCACCTATTTTGTGTACTAGTGGGAATAATTTCCAAGTATCTTCAAAGTGCACCCATTCTGAGTTGCCCTGTTGTTGCTTATAGAACGTATATTTCTGCACTGCCTTCGCTGTCAGATTGCTCTGTTCAAACTCTCTGCTGTCAGAAACGTTCCCGCCAAATCTGCTCCGTTCCCTTGTCAGTGAACTACGAATTCGAACCACAGGATTTCATTTCAGCAGCTCCCAAACTCCTCCCATCCCCTACCCTTCCCGAGGCCACGCTGTCCTGATTGGTTGGCTGCCCAACCAAATCAATGATCGTCCGGTAAGGTTCAGTAAGATTCCACAAGGTAGCCTGTAATTCACCCGTTTTCATCGCTTCGAACCAGAAACAACCGAACCGAACCGAATGTGCGGGACGCTTCGGATTCAACTCTAGCATCCACTGATGATGAGGTTTCATTGCCTGAATGGGTGGGTACTCGTCTCCTTTCAGGCAGCAAATCTCGAAAGACTCGAAATTCATGACGTTCTGTCCTGTTCCATTCACGGTCTACTGCTCGCTGAGCCTGTTCTTATTCTTGTTTGTTCTAGGAATTTAGGTCATCAACTTAGGAACCACGCAGCGTATTGACTGTTGTAGCGCCTGAACTCGATCGGCTAGACCTGTTGCTCCTAAATTAAATCACCTGAAGCCGAGGTAATTTGGTCGTTTATTACTCCACGTCAAGCTCCTCGCTTGCGTAATATTGCCACATGCAGCATCTGACGATTATCCGATCCGATCCATTCAACTACCTGCAGAGATATCCGCTTCTATCAGTTCAGATCATTATTTAGACCCATTTTGAAGGCACAATGGTGATAGAACGTCACAGCTCGTTAGACCCAGATCCGGGTGCCGTCGCGAGAGCGAATTCCAACGTGCAAGTAGTCGTGCGAGTACGACCCCCGAACGAGCGGGAAAACGATTTAGGCTACCATAAATGCATAACAGTCGATCCCAGCTCAAAACTGCTACATCTCTCGACAAGGCCTCCTTCGAAGCCTTTCTCTTTCGACTATATTGCGGACGAAGACACGCAGCAGGTGACAGCAGCTAACAAATGCTTCCCTTTCGTGGTTGTCAATGATTCCTTAAGCATCTGATAACTCACGAACTGACTTTCTTTTGTCTGTCTTATTTTTTCTCTGTTTGCAGGAGGATATCTTCACGACAATCGGAAAGCCTATCACGGATGCATGTTTGGAAGGTTACCACTGCTGCCTTCTTGCGTATGGTACGGGAGCAACTAGCTTTCTGTGATTTCAAAAGTATTCGCTCGAGTTTTATTTGCTTTTGAGGGGTGTTCGCCCTCCCCCCCGATCCCCTCCGTCGCCTCTGCTGCAGCTGTTGACTACCTTCGTGCTGAGGAGGTAGGAGCTGCGTCTGCCCCTAGTGGGAGGCGCCGCAGCGGCAGGGGCAGGGGAGGCAGGGGCGGTGGGGGTGGCAGAGGTGGAGGCGGTGGTGGGGGCGGTGGAGGCGGTGGAGGGGGCGGCGGTGGCGGAGGTAGTCGTGGTGGGGGTGGAGGTGTAGGTGGCGGCGGTGGTGGCAGCAGTTGGAGTGGTGGAGGCGGCAGCGGTGGCGGCAGTGGGAGTGGAGGCGGCAGCAGTGGTGGTGGCCGGGGTGGTACCAGCCAGAGGGGAGGCCTTGGAGGTGGTCAGAGGCAGCAGCAGCAGCGTCAGCCCCTTTCGTCTCAGGAGCTACGTAAGTGGTTTGCTCAGCGTGGGGCGGCTGAGCTCCCCCACTGGGCAGAGCTGCTTAGGCAGGGTGTGGATATTTTTGCTCTTGACTATGATGCTATCCTCTCTGCCATGTATGCATTGACTGTTAGTGCTGAGGGTGACTGTTACCTGTCTATGCCGCCCGACCCAGGTATAAAGGTCGCTGCTCTAGGTGCTAGTGAGTCTGCTCTCTCTGGTACTGCGCCTGCTGAGGCCTTGCACACCTTTACGCTTGACTCAGGTGCTTCCCGCTGTTTCTTTCGCGACAGTACCACACTCACACCGCTCCCTGCACCTGTTGCTGTCTCTCTGGCTGACCCCTCTGGGGGCCCAGTCCTTGCACGTTCCTCCACTGTTCTCCCATGTCCGGCGGTTCCGTCTGGCTCACTGTCACGTCTTCACCTCCCCTCGTTCTCTACGAACTTGGTGAGCAACGCCGTCCTTCAGGATATATGGGTTGATACCTTTACTCCAGGAGGACAGCGTGTGGCGATCTGTACGTGCTCCCAGACTGGCCGGCACCTGGCCACGTTCACCCGTGCGCCTGGCTCGAGTCTGTACACACTGACTACTGTGTCTCCTTAGGTAGCTGCGTCTGCGTCAGGTCAGCTAGCGGCCCCCTGCTCATGTCGCGCTCTGTCGCACCAGACCCTCCTTTGGCACTACCGTCTTGGTCACCCCTCAGTGCAGCGCCTCCGTGGCATGCACTCTCGTCTCCTTGTCTCTGGTCTTCCCAGGACTCTGCCTCCCCTCCCACCCTCGCCTGCCCCTCCCTGCCTTCCCTGTGTAGAGGGGCGGCAGCGAGCCGCTCCTCACTCCTCCTCGTTTCCCAAGATGACTGCTCCCCTGCAGACTCTCCACATGGACGTGTGGGGCCCAGCCCGCGTCCGTGGACAGGGCCGCGAGCGCTACTTTTTGCTGGTTGTTGATGATTACACGCGTCGGTCTTCCCCTTGCGCAGCAAGGGGGAGGTCCCTGATGTTCTGATCCCTTGGATCCGCGCTGTCCGTCTCCAGCTCCGCGACCGGTTCGGGACGGACCTTCCAGTCCTGCGTCTGCACTCTGACAGAGGTGGTGAGTTTGCCTCTGACCTTCTGCGGGACTTTTGTCGTGGGGAGGGCATTCGCCAGACGTTCACGCTTCCTGCCTCTCCGCAGCAGAATGGGGTTGCTGAGCGCCGCATTGGCTTGGTCATGGAGGTCGCTCGTACCTCCATGATCCATACGGCTGCCCCCCATTTTCTGTGGCCGTTTGCGGTCCGGTACGCTGCGCATCAGCTTAACCTCTGGCCTTGTGTCTCCTTGCCGGAGACCTCACGGACACTGCGTTGGACGGGAGAGGTTGGCGATGCGTCGGTGTTCCGGGTCAGGGGATCTCGTGCCTTTGTCCGCGATACGTCCGCGGACAAGCTCTCCGCCCGCGCTATTCCCTGCGTCTTCCCTGGTTTTCCCCCTGACTCGCCTGGCTGGCAGTTTTACCACCCCACCTCGCGCTGTGTCCTGCCCTCTCAGGATGTCACGTTCGACGAGTCGGTTCCCTTTTACCGTCTCTTCCCCTACCGCACTGCCCCGCTCCCCCCCCCCGCCACTCTTCCTTGCACCAGGTCCTCCTCCGGTAGACCCCCTCCCCCCTCAGGGTCCTGCTCCCTCAGGTGTGTCTCAGGTAGACCCTGTCGAGCCTGTCGAGGTCGCTGACGACTCTGGTGCTGCTGGGGGTGGTGCTGCTGGGGGTGCTGAGCCTGCGCGTGCGGAGCTTGGGGGTGCTGAGCCTGAGCGTGCGGAGCCTGGGGGTGCTGAGCCTGAGGTTGCTGAGTCTGGGGGTGCTGAGCCTGGGGGTGCTGAGACTGGGGGTGCTGAGCCTGGGGGTGCTGAGTCTGCTGGAGGTCCTACAGGTGCCTTGTCACGGCGGGAGCCTCTCTCTCCACCGCAGCTGCGCGAGTGGGTTGCTCGGCGCTGGAGCCTTCGGAGTGGCGCTGCTGGATCTGGGGGGGTCTGCTGCTGGAGGCCCTGGAGCTGGAGGTACTGAAGCTGCTGGAGCTGGAGGTACTGGAGCTGCTGGAGCTGGAGGTGCTGCCGGCGTTGGAGCTGGAGCTGCTGGAGTAGCTGGAGCCACTGGTCCCGGAGGTGCTCGTACTGGAGGTAATGGAGCTGCTGGAGCTGGTGGTACTGCGGGCGTGGGAGCCGGAGGCTGTTGATTCGCAGGGCAAACTGGCGCCGGCAAGACCTTTACGATGGAGGGTAAGGCGGACGTTGCGTATCATTTCGACATATTTGATGCTTCATTAATCTCATAGTACGGCAATTCTAATGTGTTGTTCTCCTTTGGCTTTCGCAGGACCGGATTGTGACATCGAAGGGGAAGGATCCCACCGAAGCGTGGACAAACGCGGCCTTATTCCACGGATTCTCCAGTACATCTTCCAGAGACTGTCAGCTGACAAGGTATGACCCTTTCTGCCTTTCATTCTTACGGCGAAAACATATATGATGCTGGTTTTTCCTTTCTTTTTTGTCTACATACCACTTGACGTCATTCAATCTTACATAAATTCTGTTGCGTCTGTGCGTGCAGGAGCTGCAGATGCTAGAGTTCACCATCCGCTGCTCCTACCTGCAGATTTACAATGAGCAGGTGTCAGACCTCCTCGAGCCAGATTCGGTGAACCTGAGTATGTCCTTACTGCTCTACCATGAAATTCAGAGTCACGTTCAGTCAATCATGCACGAAACTGAAAACGTCTGCTCATACATATTTTGTGTTGACTCCTGATTAGTTGATTTCGTGCATCCGTCCATTTTCGTGCGCTGTCATGCATCAGGCGTCATACATCAGCTGTCACGCATCAGCGTCATACATCAGCTGTCATGCATCAGCGTCAGACATCAGCTGTCATACATCTGCTGTCATGCATCAGCTGTCATGCATCTGTTTTCATCTGTCAGATGCCATACATCTGTTTGGATGCACCTGTTAATTATGAATCTGTTGTCAAGCGTGTGGTGTGGCAGATGTGAGGGAGGACATGCGGCACGGGATGTTTGTGGAGGGCCTGCAGGAGGTGGTGGTGTCCACGGCCGACGCCACCTATGCGCTGTTCAAGCGTGGCTCGCAGAACCGTCGCGTGGGCCAGACCGCCATGAACATGGAGAGCAGCCGCTCTCACAGCGTGTTCACTATTGTGGTGGAAACTCAGGTACAGACTGCAGCACCGGTTTTGTGCTTTCAATGAGTATGCTAAGTCTGACATCTGCTCCTCAGATTTCTGATAATCTCACTTGCTTCTGCCGTTTTTTCTCCTTCCATGACGCCACCAGTTTTTGTGCTTCCTGATCACATCCCATGGCGGCTTCTCATCTCACGCTGAACTTCCCTTCCTGTGTGTCTTGCTGGGCTGCAGCGGAGGGACGACGCAGGGGTGATGAAGAGGGGGACCTCACGGTTCAATCTGGTAGACCTAGCAGGGTCGGAGAGGCAGAAGCACAGTGAGGCGCAGGGGGTGCGGCTGAAGGAGGCCGGGAGCATCAACAAGTCCCTTTCTGCACTAGGAAACGTCATCAAGGTAAGAAAACGAATATTATTTAGTGGCAGATTTGCTACATTGTTGTGAACTTCGGAGTCGTTGGTTGACATTGTGTGATTCTCTGCAGGCATTGGTTGACATCGCAGAGGGGAAGGTTCGCCACGTCCCCTATCGAGACTCCAAGCTCACATTTCTTCTAAGTGTAAGAAACTCCTCAGCTTTGCATTGTCCACTTAATGCAATTGAGTATATTGCTTCACCCTTGTGATACTTTTTGTTGGTGAGTTCTGATTTTGTTTTTTCTTCTTCTTTTCAGGACTCCCTGGGTGGCAACTCCAAGTGCACCCTGCTGGCGGCGGTGAGTCCTGCGGAGCGCAACGTGGATGAAACGATGTCGACGCTCAAGTTTGCGCAGCGGGCGAAGCTGATGCACAACGAGGCTGTAGTGAACGAGCTGATGATGGGCAACCCCGCCGTCATGGGCGAGGAGATCCGACGCCTGCGCCTCGAGATCGCCGAGCTTAGAGGTGCGTTCTGTGAGGGAGAGAGAGAGAGGAAGGAAGTGAGTTCTGGGTGTTTCGTGGGGACAGTGTTTTTTGGATTAGCTCGGAATGGGTTTTGACTTCTTACTGGATTTTGATGGTGTGAAGAGACTGACCCCGATTTCTCTTGTTGTGTGCTCTTGCAGCCAATGCGACAGCAGGAGTGCCTGGGCAGCCGCTGCTCCCACCCAGCCCTTCTCCTGGGCCCATGTCAGGTAGAGTTTAGAAAACCCAATCTGCTTATAGTTCTCGCCCTGAAGCCTCGGGTCTTGTTTGGTGGACTGTGAATCTTCCTGATGGTCTCCTCTTGTCGTGCTTTCATAGTCCAAGTGTTCCCGACCATGCTCCTACGTGTATCTGCTCGTGCCTCTCTCCACCCCCACCGCAGACAACGAGCGCATCTGCCGCCTGGAGCAGATAATCTCACAATCCACCAAGCGGGCTCTGGAGGCGGAGAGGCAGGCGGGGCAGGAGGTGGCGAGGCAGAGCAAGAGAGCCGAGGCCGCTGAGGCCCTGGCGGAAGGGCTCGTGAGGAGCGTGCAGGTGAGAATGACTGGTAGATAGATGAAAAGATTCAAGCTGTCAAGTGAGGAGGTGATTGGCCGCCGCTGGCAGATGCTGTCACGTATTGGCTCTCTAGGTCGTGTTTGTTGAGCGCTGGTTGTGAGGTACTGTGGTCCTGGCGGACCTTGTGAGGGGAGCGTGCATGCACGTGCCTGGTCGCCGCATCACGTTTTGGTTAACCGTCTCTGTTCTCCCAGTGAAGAACATGAGCTTACTGTGTGCTGCATCCTTTTGTGCCTGACGATTGTGTATCCTTGGTTTGATCGGCAAATTTTGCATGACTTGCATGATTGGCCTGACTTCCATGCCTGCCTTGACTTGCATGACTGGCATGACTCGCATGATTGGTGCTGTGTGGTGCCACAGGGGTTGAAGATGGTGGTGAAGCTGCGGGACGGGAGGATCAAGCGGGTGGAGGCGCAGGGGAGGTGCGATGGGCAGTGTGCACGGGGGGAGGACGCGGCAGCAGTGGAGGAGCTGTCGCAGGAGGTGGAGGTGCTGAGGCGCATGGTGGAGAGAAACCCCGACGCCATCCGCTTCCAGCTCGAAGTTGACGTCTGCAAAGGTGCGTAGTGTGAGACATGGTGTGTGGATTCAGTCATGCAAAAAGCCTTCTTGGCTGATTGCATGGGGCGTTCATGAGGCGCCTTTGAAACCATATTTATTTGCATGGAAGCAATCGACCTGAGGTAGTAAGCATTCGTGTAAGCATAAGACTACTCTGTCAGTACGACAACATGGCCCTTCACTTCTCTTCCATTTGCCATCAATGTTACCATGGTCAGGTGGAACACGCTGAAACACTCACTCTCTTCCCGATATCATCCATATTTCCCATTCCCAATGCAATGCGTCCCTCCCTCTATGCCCCCTTTGCAGCGCGCATCAGCGAGCTGGAGGAGCAGCTGCAGACGGGCACGAGCAAGGGGGACAAGGTGGCCGCACTGGAGTGGCTGAAACGCACCGTTGCTGCAACACACTCACTCCTGCCAATGAAATTCCTCCCTCTCCCAATGCAGCGAGGATCAGCGAGCTGGAAGAGCAGCTGCAGACGGGAACGAGCGAGGGGGACAAGGTGGCCGCCCTGGAGCGCCTGAACAACGCCCTGAGGGAGGAGCTCAAGGAGGCGTTCGATGAGAACGAGGCATTGCGGGGCAAGGAGGAGGAGGGGCGGCGGGAGAGGGAGGAGCTCCGAGCCAAGCTCGTTGGCATGGAGGAGCATGTGAGTTGGAAGGAGGGTGCGGTGGGATGTGAGTGGGGCGGAGGGTGGGGAAGGGTGTGTGGGTAGGAGGGTGGGGAGGGATGTGAGTGGGGAGGGATGTGGGTGGGGAGGAGGGGGAGGCATGTGACTTGGGGGATGACTGTGCATGCAGTTCGTTTCGTTGGTCTCACGCGTCTCTCTTTTCTGTGAGCTGACACTCGCAAACTACTTGCATGGCATGGCGGCTGTGGCAGAGCAGAACCAGCAGATAGTGAACATGTGGTTCCATGCTGAATTCCACCTGCCTGACTGACTCTTCCTTGTTGCACGCTGTGACTGACTGACTGGCATGGTATGCCAGGAGGTGGCTGCAGTGGCGGAGCAGTACCGCATGGAGGTGAACAACAGGTGGCTCCATGGTGAAAAAATATCACCTGGCTGACTGGCATTTGCTTCTCCCACACTGTGACTGGCATGGCAGGTGAAGAAGGTGGCAGCGGTGGCGGAGCAGTACCGCATGGAGGTGAACAACACACGGCAGCTTCAGCGCAGCGTCAACGACCGCAAGCACGAGTTTGATGATGTGAGTGGCAGTCTGATGACGCGAGTGCCGGTTCTGTGATGTGAGCATCACCGTCCCGTCAACATCTGATATTCATCGATGTTATGACAATCTGCATCCACTTCACTGCTTCCCTTGCTGGTGATCATAACAACATCACTGTACTCTCTCAAACTTTTAAATAAACATAATCTCGATTTTTTCGAATCACTCCACTGCGTTCCTCTCTGCAATCCTCATTGTAACGCATCCATGTGCATCCCTGCCTCTCTGTGTTCCCAGGCGCGCGTGCGGTGTGGAGTGGCGGAGGCGAAGGTGGGCAAGCTGCTGCAGCAGCTGGCGGCCACCCAGCAGGCGGAGTCAGTGCTTAAGGTGGAGGCCGCGGAGCACCACGCTCAGAGCGCCGCCCTCGCTCGGGATCTGCAGACGTGCCGGGCCGAGCTGGCAAGGAACGTGGCTGAGGGCGAGAGGAGTGCAGCTGACGCAGCACAGCTGCGGGCTGATCTGGAAGCGGTGCGGAAGCAGGTGGAGGGGTTGGTGAAGGAGAAGGTGAAGGCTGAGGGACAGGCAGCAGAGGCAGCAGCCGCTGGGAAGGAGATGTCAGAACTAGCAGTAGAAAGTAAGAATGAAGAAAGGAGGAGGTTCACTAGCAAGCAGTTGAGTACATATAGGAAACCCTAGATTGGGCTGTACTCGCTATAGAGTACCCCACTGCAGGCTAGACAAATACAACATTCTGACAGGAGAAGGAGAGGGCGCATGAGGAGCAGAGGAAGGCGTTAGAAGAGGCTATGGAGGAGATGAGGAGAGCGCAAAAGGAGATGGAAGATGCTGGGAGGGAGAAGGTGCGGGAGCTCGAAGAGCAGAAGAGAGTGTTGGAGGAGGAGCTTGAGGGGATGAGGCGAAAGCTGTTGGAGATGGAGGATGCTGGGAAGGAGAAGGAGGGCGCGTTAGAAGAGCAGAAGAGCGCGCTGGAAGAGGAGCTTGAGGGGATTAAGAGAAAGCAGCAGGAGATGGAAGATGCTGTGAGGGAGAATGTGAAGGAGCTCGAGGAGCAGAAGAGAATGTTGGAGGAGGAGTTGGAGGGGATGAAGGGTATGCAGGTGGAGCTGGAGGAGAAGGTGCAAGCGCTGGAGAAAGAGCGAGATCTGCTGTGGGCTGCAGCAGAGAAGAGCGGGGCGGACGGTGATGCTGACGGCGCTGATGGTGCTGGTGGTTCAGATGCTGCAAAGAAGCGGTCGGAGCTGGGCGAGAGGATAGCGAAGCTGGAGGAGGAGCTGAAGACGGAGAGGGGGCGGGTGATTGACCTAGCAGAGAAGGTGGGCGACAGGGACGGGCTGCTGGAGGCGGCTTGCGAGAGGCAGAGGCGAGCAGAGGAGGCAGCGGAGAGGGCAAGAAGGGAGGCGGAGGAGTTTGCTGCTGGGGGGCACAAGCTGCAGCAGGTGAACCTGGCGCTGGAGGAGCAGCTGTGCTCGGCGCTGGAGAGCCTGCAAGAGGCGAAGGAACGGGTGGAGCGACTGGAGCAGGAGAGAGTGGGTTTGCTGGAGGAGGCTATAATGCTGGAGAAGGAAACGGAAGAGGAGCAGCAGCAGAAGGAGCAGGAGGAGGAGGAGCAAAAGCAGCAGGAGCAGGAGGAGAGACATTCGGGAGGAGGTAGCGGAAGCAAGAGGAGGTGGCAAGAGACTGTGAAGGGTGATGAGGAAGCAGTGGAGGCAGGTGGGGAGGAGGGCGTTCTCAGCCCGATGACTCTGTGCCTCACAGAGCTCCGTGACGTGACCAACAGGGCAAGCCCTTCGCGAGTAGCAGACAAAGGCAGCAGTGCAGCAGATGCAGCGGGGAAGGATGCTGATGCACGCGGAGGAGCCACTGGTTCTGGCCCCAGCCGAATTCGCCTCGGCACAGCAGCAGACATGCCCACGCTACCTGCCTCTGCTTCTGCCAATGCGTTTCTCGCCAACAGGTGGACTCTGCCCTTTGCTGGAGATAACGTTTCTGCCAGCGCAGACTCTGACAGCGACCTGCTCAGATATGCAGTCACTGGGGCGGCCGGAGGGCTGGCAGGGGGTGAAGTTACCACACATGGAGCACTGGGACGACGGCTGGAGAAGAAGAAGAGGCGGAGGAGCGCACCAGTGAGCCAAGCAGAGGCGCAGGCGGAGAAGCTGAGGCTGATGGAGGTGCAGGTGCGGCACATGGTGAAGCAGCTCGCTGCGGCCCACGCCCAGGTGAAGAGCCTGTCCGGTAGGATGCAGAAGGCGGGTCCCCTGATGGTGCGGATGCGGGACGTGGTGCAGCAGCTGCGGGCGAAAGGGCAGGCACTGGAGCTGGCGCTGCTGCATACGCTGGAGAGGGAAGCGGAGCGGGAGCAGGCAGAGGAGGATGAGAAGGAGGAGGTTGGGCTGATGTATTTGGGGCTGGAGGAGCAGAGGGATAGGTTGAGGGAAGAGAGGGATGCGTATTTAAAGCAGCTGATGGTGGTCGGGCCGAGGAACGCGGTGCTTTGTGAGGAGTTCAGTGCGGTGAAGGCGAGGCTGGAAGCGGCCAGGGAGGAGATGGGTCAGATGGGAGAGGAGCGGGCTAGGCTGCGGAGCAAGTTGGCTAGGCTGAGTCGAAAGCTGGAGCAGCAGGTAACAGGGAGAACAGCAGCGGGTGGAGGCCTTGAGAGTAAAGTTAGGGTAGAGCATGCAGTTGATGGGGAGAAAGGCGAGGGTGGAGTTAAGACGGAGAGCAGAGCTGAGGTGGAGGTCGCTGCTGATGTGGAGGATGTGGATGAGGAGCTCAAGGCTGACGTGGATGAAGCGCTGGCCGTTGTGAGGGAGCACGTGGGCGAGGTGGAGAGCAGGAACAGGCAGCTGGCGGAGCAGGTCAAGGCACTGGAGCAGCAGTGCGAGAGGCTGCAGGCTGAAGCTGAGGGGGTGGGCAGCAGGAAGACGAGGGCGGTGAGGGCCGTGGTGAAGAGCGAGAAGGAGGAGAGACAGGAAGGTGGTTTGGAACAGCAGGGCGCAGGGAAGCGGGTGGATGGGCAGCAGGAGCGTGAGAAGAAGGGAGATGGGCACAAGAGGGAGGAGCATCAGGGGCAGGCGCACGAGCAGGAGCAACAGCGGCTGGTTGGGCAAGTGGAGGAGCTGTTGGCGCGTCTGGCTGCAGCTGAGGAGCAGACGAAGGGCACCATGGGCCGCGCTGCTCTGGCGGAGCAACGGTGCAGCGAGATGCATGCTCGTGTTGCTGCTGTGGTGGCCCGGGAGAGAGCGCTGCAGAAGCTGCTGGTGAGCCCGCTGCTGAGGGATGCTGGGGCTGGGGATGGTGGGGTTGGGGGCTCTGGGGTTGTGGGCAGAGGGATGATGGGAGCAGTGAGTGGGGACGAGATCGTGGAGGGATGGAAGGCGAGGTGGCGGCAGCTGGAGCAGGAGCAGGGAGAGCTGGACTTACACCTGAACCAGAACAGGGTAGGGGACCAGGAAGGCAAGGACGGACAGGAGCATGCGGAGCAGGAATGTGGGCAGGGAGGGGTGGAATGCGGTGCAGAGGCTGGTAACATGGGTGCGGATGTGGGGCAGGAGCAGAGGCGCATGCAGGTGGAGGAGGTGCGGGGGGTGTTGGCTCAGGTGGTGCTGGTGGAGAGCCTACTGGCCGTGGTGCTGTGCCGGGCTGGGCTTGCTGGCCTCTCCTCCCGCATGGAAACCAAGCTGCTGGGATCAAATCTGGGGTCAGGAGAGATGGTGGGGGCAGGAGGGATAGAAGGGGAAGGTGGTTCGCTTGGTGAGGGAGGCTCAGGTGCTGGCGCTGGCGAGGGAGAGGGCGAGCCCGGGGGGGTGGATGGAAAGGAAAATGCAGGAGTGAGCGGGTCAGAGGAGGAGGAACGGACAGGGCAAGGGAGAGCAGAACAAGGAGTGGGAACAGAGCAAGTGGAGGAGGTGCTGAACGCGCTGCAGAGGCAAAGGGTGCTGCTTCTTGGTTTCTTGGGAGTGAAGGCAGAGAAAAGCAGCAAGCCAGAGCAGAATGAGCAAGAGAGGAATCTGGCGAACGAGGAGGTGGAGCGAGCTATAGCGAGTCCCAGTGATGGTAAGGCCCTTCCTTTTCCAGCTTTAGTGTCCAAGCAGGTCAGGATCGCACAGCAGCTGGTGCGAGCAGGATTCGATGCCCTCATGGCAAACGACGACACCTGCTGGCTGCGCGGGTCCGTTCTGAGAGGCGTGTACGCCCTAAGGAAGCTGGTGGAGGAGGTGGAGGGCAAGGTGGGCGCGTGGGAGGCGCAGTGGGGCGAGCTAGAGCAGTCTTTCCAGCAGCAGAACCGGGAGTTCCTGGAGGTGGGGCGAGCGCTGCAGCGCGTGCAGGGGGAGAAGCGGGCAGTGGAGGGGGCAGTGAGAGAGAGGGCGGAGGAGGAGGCGGGGCGGCGGGAGGTGGTTGAGAGGACGGTGCGTGTGGCAGCTGAGGCAGTGGAGGTGGAGAAGGAACTCGAGGAGAAGCAACAGCAGGTGGCGGTGGCTGCAGTGGGGAATGCTGCTGCGTGCTCTGGGCAAGGAAGCGAGCTGAGCAGCCGCTTGGAGAAGGAGGTGGAGTGGCTGCAGCAGGTGAAGGACGCGAAGGAGAGGGAGGTGGTGGGGCTGATGAAGCGCGTGACGGAGATGGAGCTGCAGGGGAGAGCGCAGTGGGAGCAGGCGGTGCGGCGGCAGGAGGCTGCTGCGAAGCAGGTGGAGGGGCTCTTGGAGCAGCTGAGGGCGGCGCAGCAGCAGCTGGGTGGGAAGAGTGGCGAGGTGGAGAAGCTGGTGTGGATGGTGGAGCAGCTTCAAGAGGAGGTCAAGGCCAAGGTGAGGCTTCTTGTTGCTTGTTGCTCGTTCAGGGCATGGCTGCTTCTGAATGTGGCTGGTCAGGGATGTTAATTTCTGATTGGCTCTTTCCATACCAATCGTTCAGCTAGCCCCTCTCAACTCAGCACAGCACAGCACAGTGCAGCACAGCACAGCACAGCACAGTGCAACACGGCAGACAACTAATGGACTAAACCTGGTCAGTGTGTATCTTACTTCTGTCCCATCCCTCTCCCCTTATCCAGGACGATCAGATCACCTCTCTGCACGTGCAACTTGCAGCAGCAACCAAGGCAGTGGCTCTCAACTCCCCTCTCAGACCCCGTCAACCAGCAACAGCAGCAGCAGACAGAGGCGAATCAGCCCCTGCAAGTGACCCCAGGCAGCAAAGGCCCTCGGATTCAGCTCAAGGGTCACGGCGGGTGCGGCAGCGGCTGGGCGGCGTGCTATCCGCCATCCACAGCATGGGAGCTATTCGGGATGGCACTCGCAGTCCGTTTGGGTTCAGGGGCGTGGGGGCTGGCAATGAGGGTGCAGCAGCAGCAGCTGCTTCTGGTGGTGCTGTGCATGCTTCCACGACTGCTGGGTGCAGTGGGCGCGGTACTGCTGCTTCTGTGAGCTGTGGGACCGGAGGAGGGGAGGGTGAGGAGTTTTACACGCCCATGACCAATTTGCCCTTCATCCCGGAGAGTGCGGGGTACAGTGGAGGCGGGGTTGATGCGAGTGGAGGGGGGCTGGATGGTGGTGCTGGTGGGAGTGTGAAGGGGAGCAGGGGGAAGGGGTCTGGATGGGGTGTGGGGCACGGAGGGGTTGGTGGTGGAAGTGCGAAGATGCGAGGCTGGGGGAGTGGCGTGGGCAAGTGCGTTGGGAGTGATGAGAACGCGCCGTTGATTCCTTACGGCCCACAATCAGGTACACTTCTGCCCATTCCCTTCCCCTTTCTTTCAAACCGTCCCTTTCCTCTTCCTTTCCAATACCTGTGTCCCATATCACGTATTACGCTTCTCTCTTGTCTTGCCATGTGTCAGAACTTTCTTATTCTCTGTCTCCCTTATGTGGCGTCTCAAACGATTTCATCAGACTGCTCCCGTGTTCTTTCATTCTCAGGTGATGGGGGCGTGGCATCTGCACCCTTGCACACTCCACCTGTTGCTGGGAGTGCAAGCAAGGTGACTGTCAGGACTGCCTTTGACGCTCCGGCACCATTCTCTCAGCTCTCCGGGAGATGGCAGCAAGACAGGTACTTCTCTCTTTCTTCCACCTGTTCTCACACCCTCTGTTTTCTAGTTCCACCCTCCCTCTCATCGATTGTTTGCCAATTAATGCTCGTTTCAAGGATGCATGCATAACCACATGAGGAATATAACTCTGAATGCTATTTTGTGTCCTCTGCCATGCCTTTTGGGATCCTTTTGTGTCGTGCTCCCTGGCAGGCCACTTTCTGGGGAGGGAACACCAAGGAGCAACCGTCGTGGTCCAGTCCTTAGGTAGAAACGACCATTACGCCCCCACTTTATGACCCTTCAACTCATTCATGCATTAGGTGTTGAATAACGGCAAAATATGATCCTGATATACACAATCGTGTCTAGATGGCCATGTTGTAGCTGTTCACGAATGTATGGTACAATATAGGGTAAGTCGTAGGGCAATTGTTAGCCTGGCGAGTTTTGTTATTGATAAAATGACATGTTTGCACTCCTGTAACTGCTTGTTCGTGAGTTTCCACAAGCAGCCTGGACTGCGGGATTTGCCACAGATGTTCGCGCGGTTATGTGGTCCTGGTTCTCTGGTCTGTTTCTTCCACTTTCACCAGCTCCCACCTTGTCCATCATCTGGACTAAGGAGGCATGTTTAGAGATCGCCAGGAATCTTCCACCTTGTCCCTAGTTGAGACCATGGTCAGGCTTGACATAGCAGGACGCCATGCCAGCTGGCTGTTCTATAGCTGAGACGCATACATGCTTTCTGCAGCGCTCTCCGGTACGCACGCTCGCGTTTCAGCCACCCTCGCTGGTATCGTCTCGCTGTCGAACAAACTGAGACATTCAGGCCTCGTGCTCGTTTCACTTCTCAGTCCCAGGTTCCGAGCTCTCTCGTTTTTCGATGCCACATTCTCGCGGTATTTAGCAAGTCGTAGCAGCAGCAGCAAAAGCTGGTCCGAGCCGCGGCTACTCGCGATGTGTGCGAAGTGGCTATTAAAATCCGAGCCGGAGACGTGGTCATGGGACGATCAGATGGCGAAGAAAGTAGAGCCGTGGGACGGCGTGCGAAACCACCAAGCGGCGAACAACATGAAAGCCATGAAGACCGGCGACCTCGCCTTCTTTTACCACTCAGGCAAGGCCGCCTTGCAGCGAGCTAGCTTGACCTGACAATTGTCTGGTCAAGCCAGCGTTTCTAATCTCTGTTTGTATGATTCACTTCATTCCGTTTCAAATTGAGTGATTCAGTCCAGCCGAGCTTTGACTATGGTCCAATCTGGACCTCGGCTTTAAGAGGTTCACTCTGTGTAGCATGTCGGTACCACTGACTAAGTTGTACCATTCAGGCAAGATAAGGAAATCTGTGAGAATTGTCCGAAACTTTTTTCTTGACTTGTGATGCTTCAAGTTGTCTACTAGGTCACATTCCATTCCAGCATATCCGCTCATTCACTAGAATGATTTCGTCCTACTGTCTCTCATGCAGGCAAGGAGCGTCGAGTCATGGGGATTGTCCAAATCTGCAAGGAGTATTACCCCGATCCCAGCGATAAGTCCGAGAAATTCGGCATGGTGGATGTGGAGACAGTTGAGGCGTTCCCGAGCCCAGTGACGCTGCGTGCTATTAAGGAGGACTCGCGATTGAGTCACATCGCGCTGGTCCGCCAATCACGGCTGTCGGTGATGCCTGTTGACGAAGCGGCTTGGGATATTATCAAGGATCTCGGATTGAGAGCCTCAGATATTAGTGAAAAAGGAGATGAGGAAGAGATGGAAGGCGGGGAAGAAGGGCGAGAGGCAGGCAGAGGAGACAAGAGAGGCAAGGGAGGAAAGGAGGTTTCTGAAGGGCAGGAACCAGTTCAAGGTGGCAAGAAGCAGGAATTGGAGCAGTTTGCTCATTCTGAGGGGGTACCCTCAGAAGACGGAAGAGAAAATAACAATCTATGTTGCCAAATTCGTGGGTGGCGCAATAAGGGTTCGAGGCATCGGGCTGTCCTGCTACATGAGCATGCGTGGATAGACATACATTGGAATGAATGCATGGATTCATGGGTGCATGGATTCATGGGTGCATGGATTCATGGGTGCATGGATTCATGGGTGCATGGATTCATGGGTGCATGGATTCATGGGTGCATGGATTCATGGGTGCATGGATTCATGGGTGCATGGATTCATGGGTGCATGGATTCATGGGTGCATGGATTCATGGGTGCATGGATTCATGGGGTGCATGGATTCATGGGTGCATGGATTCATGGGTGCATGGATTCATGGGTGCATGGATTCATGGGTGCATGGATTCATGGGTGCATGGATTCATGGGTGCATGGATTCATGGGTGCATGGATTCATGGGTGCATGGATTCATGGGTGCATGGATTCATGGGTGCATGGATTCATGGGTGCATGGATTCATGGGTGCATGGATTCATGGGTGCATGGATTCATGGGTGCATGGATTCATGGGTGCATGGATTCATGGGTGCATGGATTCATGGGTGCATGGATTCATGGGTGCATGGATTCATGGGTGCATGGATTCATGGGTGCATGGATTCATGGGTGCATGGATTCATGGGTGCATGGATTCATGGGTGCATGGATTCATGGGTGCATGGATTCATGGGTGCATGGATTCATGGGTGCATGGATTCATGGGTGCATGGATTCATGGGTGCATGGATTCATGGGTGCATGGATTCATGGGTGCATGGATTCATGGGTGCATGGATTCATGGGTGCATGGATTCATGGGTGCATGGATTCATGGGTGCATGGATTCATGGGTGCATGGATTCATGGGTGCATGGATTCATGGGTGCATGGATTCATGGGTGCATGGATTCATGGGTGCATGGATTCATGGGTGCATGGATTCATGGGTGCATGGATTCATGGGTGCATGGATTCATGGGTGCATGGATTCATGGGTGCATGGATTCATGGGTGCATGGATTCATGGGTGCATGGATTCATGGGTGCATGGATTCATGGGTGCATGGATTCATGGGTGCATGGATTCATGGGTGCATGGATTCATGGGTGCATGGATTCATGGGTGCATGGATTCATGGGTGCATGGATTCATGGGTGCATGGATTCATGGGTGCATGGATTCATGGGTGCATGGATTCATGGGTGCATGGATTCATGGGTGCATGGATTCATGGGTGCATGGATTCATGGGTGCATGGATTCATGGGTGCATGGATTCATGGGTGCATGGATTCATGGGTGCATGGATTCATGGGTGCATGGATTCATGGGTGCATGGATTCATGGGTGCATGGATTCATGGGTGCATGGATTCATGGGTGCATGGATTCATGGGTGCATGGATTCATGGGTGCATGGATTCATGGGTGCATGGATTCATGGGTGCATGGATTCATGGGTGCATGGATTCATGGGTGCATGGATTCATGGGTGCATGGATTCATGGGTGCATGGATTCATGGGTGCATGGATTCATGGGTGCATGGATTCATGGGTGCATGGATTCATGGGTGCATGGATTCATGGGTGCATGGATTCATGGGTGCATGGATTCATGGGTGCATGGATTCATGGGTGCATGGATTCATGGTGCATGGATTCATGGGTGCATGGATTCATGGGTGCATGGATTCATGGGTGCATGGATTCATGGGTGCATGGATTCATGGGTGCATGGATTCATGGGTGCATGGATTCATGGGTGCATGGATTCATGGGTGCATGGATTCATGGGTGCATGGATTCATGGGTGCATGGATTCATGGGTGCATGGATTCATGGGTGCATGGATTCATGGGTGCATGGATTCATGGGTGCATGGATTCATGGGTGCATGGATTCATGGGTGCATGGATTCATGGGTGCATGGATTCATGGGTGCATGGATTCATGGGTGCATGGATTCATGGGTGCATGGATTCATGGGTGCATGGATTCATGGGTGCATGGATTCATGGGTGCATGGATTCATGGGTGCATGGATTCATGGGTGCATGGATTCATGGGTGCATGGATTCATGGGTGCATGGATTCATGGGTGCATGGATTCATGGGTGCATGGATTCATGGGTGCATGGATTCATGGGTGCATGGATTCATGGGTGCATGGATTCATGGGTGCATGGATTCATGGGTGCATGGATTCATGGGTGCATGGATTCATGGGTGCATGGATTCATGGGTGCATGGATTCATGGGTGCATGGATTCATGGGTGCATGGATTCATGGGTGCATGGATTCATGGGTGCATGGATTCATGGGTGCATGGATTCATGGGTGCATGGATTCATGGGTGCATGGATTCATGGGTGCATGGATTCATGGGTGCATGGATTCATGGGTGCATGGATTCATGGGTGCATGGATTCATGGGTGCATGGATTCATGGGTGCATGGATTCATGGGTGCATGGATTCATGGGTGCATGGATTCATGGGTGCATGGATTCATGGGTGCATGGATTCATGGGTGCATGGATTCATGGGTGCATGGATTCATGGGTGCATGGATTCATGGGTGCATGGATTCATGGGTGCATGGATTCATGGGTGCATGGATTCATGGGTGCATGGATTCATGGGTGCATGGATTCATGGGTGCATGGATTCATGGGTGCATGGATTCATGGGTGCATGGATTCATGGGTGCATGGATTCATGGGTGCATGGATTCATGGGTGCATGGATTCATGGGTGCATGGATTCATGGGTGCATGGATTCATGGGTGCATGGATTCATGGGTGCATGGATTCATGGGTGCATGGATTCATGGGTGCATGGATTCATGGGTGCATGGATTCATGGGTGCATGGATTCATGGGTGCATGGATTCATGGGTGCATGGATTCATGGGTGCATGGATTCATGGGTGCATGGATTCATGGGTGCATGGATTCATGGGTGCATGGATTCATGGGTGCATGGATTCATGGGTGCATGGATTCATGGGTGCATGGATTCATGGGTGCATGGATTCATGGCAGGATTCATGGGTGCATGGATTCATGGGTGCATGGATTCATGGGTGCATGGATTCATGGGTGCATGATTCATGGGTGCATGGATTCATGGGTGCATGGATTCATGGGTGCATGGATTCATGGGTGCATGGATTCATGGGTGCATGGATTCATGGGTGCATGGATTCATGGTGCATGGATTCATGGGTGCATGGATCATGGGTGCATGGATTCATGGGTGCATGGATTCATGGGTGCATGGATTCATGGGTGCATTGGATTCATGGGTGCATGGATTCATGGGTGGACATGGATTCATGGGT